TCTTATGCGTGTCACCACGCCCCCACATTCGGCACTTGTTATGGGAGCGCAAACTGAATAACGCCTACCGTACCCTGATCTGGCCCCTATGTTGGTCCAGCGCATCTACTGCGCGGTCCGTTTAGGAAGCACTACGCTTAACGCAAACTCTTAGGATCAGTCGGGCATGAAATCGCTCACGTGTGCGACACGGGACGATCCTATTTACAATCTGACGAAGCGATTCGTTTTATTTTGGCAATTACGTAATTTCGGCTAATTTACAGTGTGCCAGAAACCCCCGTATTGAGGAAAAATTCTAAGCGCGTTTTATTCATAAAATACTACTTTAATGGGGCTTCAACACTGCTTTTCACGAAGTATAATGACAGTTTATATGTCAATTGGTAAAATAGTGGCTTTTAATTATAAATCCTCGTAGCAACTTGCGTAAATCCCAACAGGGGAAACATCCTATTTCGGGAGTATGTATTTTTCCATGTTTTTATAAAGTAAATAGCACTTAATGGAAAGGAGACCGAGGAATAACGCTTACACATTTTGTACTTAAAGGAAAATAATATTTCAGTTGTACAAGAGTACTAATATGTAAATATGTTAAAATGCATGCTTAACTTCTACTTGGTCGCACGGTTTCTAAACTGAGGGTGATTTGATTGCGTACACTGCTTCAAGTTCTTCTGGAGTCCGGCTAAATACGAGAAGAGGTATGCCCCCGTATGACTGATGGACTTGCGTTAACATCCAGGAGGACGTACACTCGTGACCTGGTGTTTAGCTATCTTCTTGTGCAAGCGTGTCAGATATTCTCACATGTATTTGCTCATCAGTCCAAAGAAATGCAACTGAACTCATGTAAGCATGGAAATCAATGCAAAACAGCACACAACACTCAAATAAGGATGCTTTCCAAAATACGGTTTATGCGGCTGGATGGAGAGCTGTCGAAAGGGAGCGTCTGTGAGGTCCACTACCTCCCCCTGAGGCAATAGACGGGGACTGAAACGTCTCGCCTTCCCGTGGCCAGGGCTCCTATTCCCGCGTCCCTACATTAACCCCAACCGTAGCCCTAATCTTACCCCTAACCATATCCTCAATCATAATGTCCCTGGAATTCGGCGCAAAGCTATATGTATTACGGGGGCTCCTGTTTCCGGAAATCCACTACAGCAGTAAGTATAGGACGCGACTGAATTGATGAAACATGGCGACCGGATGTAAAAAGCCCTCTTCTGGAGCAGAGCACGTCTCTAAGTTATCGAATTAACGAAAGTGTGCATTTTTGGGGTTGAAGTCCATTCTTTCTTATATGCCGCCAATTTCTTAGGTTCATGAGTACCGTGAACGATACATTAGTGTGTCCTAGTAAAGAACATGCGATAAAATCTTACCAAAACAACCATCACCAACTTTAATGCGAGTTTTCAGTTCGCGTAAGCCACGTGGGGCATGATGTGAGTAACCCAGTCCCTTTCAGAAAGGCGGAAACTCTCCACTATGTTTATAAACCGGTGCAAAGTTATGCACTAACGCAGAGCAATAACGAAAAAAAAGCATGTACAAATATTCCAGAAATTGTCACAGAATTTGCGACTATGTCTAACGTCGGTCGGTTGTACCTTGAACGACGTGAGAGTAAACTATTTTGACACAGTGGTGCATGCCAAGTTGAAAGGTTTCGTTTGATATCAGGCAGTTGAGCGGCTGCCATGCTTCATTTCGCACCGATTCTTGGGTGACATTTATTTTGAGCGTTCTATAACAGATTTTTTGAATGCCGATGTGCTTACGATATTCTGATCGTCCTTATTTCTCACGCGACATGTGTTTATGTCCGTTAAAGTAGACACGACTTTTTCTGCAAATATTCCCATTTTTAACTTGAAAAGTCTACTTGACAAACATCAGTTTTCGGTAATTCATCATCAGGTCTGTACAATTATATTCACAATGAAAATATAAGACTTGGACAGGGTTTATAAATGTCTTATGATTAAAACCCACCGTTTTCACATCGCCCGTATGGCGAGATTGGCGTGTGGAGGTCATTAGACGGAGGAAGGGGGAAAATAGGGTAGGCTGCAAGTACTGTTCATAGGCATTTGTGCATTTCTTTGAGAATCTGTATTTCTGAACAACGCATGTAACAAAAATGTCTTTCGTTGTTAATTTAATTATTTGTTCGATTAGCTTGGGCTTGTTTCTGAATGATTGGGGACTTGTTGTGGATTTGCGCACATTCTAGAAGTTAAACCATCTAGTGTAATTGCGCAACAAACGTGTCAGTATTTCAGGCCGATGGCGAAATCGAACGTGGTCTATAATAGGTAATAATGGGAGGTAAATTAAACAGAAAATGCTAAGGGGACAGCTCAACGTCCACCCATAAGGCATTAAAAATAGATCATGTGAGGTCAACCCTACAAAGGGTTGGAAAATCCCAAAAAATTAAAAAGCCTAAGATACCGTGCGTTCAGTGTTCGAATTTTAAAAATCGGATAAAATTTTTGATGCACGAATAAGATCTTTCTAGGAACACAGCAAGCTTGGAACTGAATTAACGCTAATGTATGGCGAGTCCCAAAACACAAATCGAGGGCTGGTCATGGAGACAGAAGTACGAGAGAAGAATGATCGCATGTTAGTGACGATTACCAGCTAAGAGTTGGGAAAATAGTAAAATGCGGGCTTTCCAGTCAACCTTACGCGCAAGGTTTGGTAAGGTGGACACGCAAAGCAAAGTTAGAAGGAAAATAATTACTAGGAGAACATTGTAAGCGTTTCGAAAACAAGCTTAAATACGAGGGCAGAGGGATAAAATGGTGCACACGGTGCTGGACATTATCAGCATGGCTGTCAATTTAGCTCGAAACCACTGCAACGTAATCACCTCTTCTAGGAATTGAATGCCACTCCTGGCATGAATGCAGTGTCCACTTCAAAAAATAGTTAAAGGAGACCCAAAAGATGCACAATTTACCAAACTCAAGGAGTACAATCCAGAAAATAACGTACCTCTTAGTTGAATCGTTGTAGCAGTAGTTTTTCACCAGGTCGCAAGTTACTTCCCAAAATACATGCAAGGCTATTTTGCTGAGGGGCGAGTTCACGAGATTGTTGGCCTCTTGAAGCATGTCATCAAAGTCATCCAAGATCAGGTATTCGGAGAGCATTCGGTGACAAAGACGGTTGCATTCAATTAGCGCCTCCAATTCCTTTTGAAGTTGAGATATGGAGGAAGGGAAGAGACAAAGACTTAAATTTAAACTGCAGAGGAGCAATATGTGCTGAAACGTAAGTTGACGGCGAGGACAGTTTCACAACAAATAGTAAGCTTTATCATACTTAAACCCCTGATTACCATAAACTCTTTAAATGGATTTGATCTTCTGACCCTACGGCAGAAAATCGAAAACTTGGTTATTCGAAAGCAGTTTAAAAGCTAGTTTCTTCGTGAGTCCAAGGCTAAGGGGCCATGTAGGTGGTCGCAAGTAGGACGAGCAACCAGTGATCAAGAAGTACCGCCGGCAGAGGTAATAGAGCGTTCGTATTCCGTCCTGCAACCGGGATAGGTCGGTAGAAGGTGTTCTCGTGACTTTTGTCATTCCAAAGTACAGTCGCCAGGATGTGAACTCGCGAATTCCTAAGCAGAGACTCTTGGTATCATTGTTGGTGACTGTGTTATGTAAACGAATGACTGCCAGTGTTACCTGAGTGCGGTAATAAGCGCTGAAATATTCGCTTGATGTGTCTACTTAATTACAATAAGTAAGTGTTTATTAGTAATTAGAGATAGCCAATGAACTGTGCAGTACGAAAGGCTCTGAAGGTATCACCGTATCACCGGAGACAAGAAATACAGAGCTGTTTCACCTACTAACAGAGAGACAACGAGAAATAGACAAGCCTGCAAAACTGTCCTTGTGTAGCTACGGTCCTTCACTAAGCGGTGCTTTTTGAATCAAGGCAACTCTTAAACAGAAAAATGTACTGAGGTGCATAACTTTTAGGTTAAGTGCGATAAACGTCCCAGTTTTGTACAAGAGCTTTACTAAATTCTCAGCGACATGGCACTCAAACCTTATACCATTCCTTGGCCTGGCCGTCTAGAGCATATATCCAAACTACTTCTATTACCATCGCCGTGTGCAAAGTGAGAAGGCAGATCGAACAACAAAAAGCATCCTAAACTACGGAAACGTTATGTAGGGGCGAAGGATACAGAAAACAAATTACATTGACTACATAAAGATTAGACCTTTTTTATCGAAAATGTCCATATCTGCGATTTTTTGTTACCTGGGATCGAAACGTACGATCAAATTCGATGTGTCCAAAGCGCCAGGAAATACCAGTGCATTGAGAGGGTGTCGTGGAAACGTGTGACAAATGAATGTATTGGGGGGGCAAGTTACGCTGTTTCTAGTCCATTCTCGTCTCCGACGTCCAGAAAGTTTTAATGACAAGGCAAAGTCAAAACGACTGGAGGTTAGTATGAAGCGCAGTGACTCAGTTCATCTTCAAGTATGTCACGCACAAACTGGTCTCTCTACACATAAGAACTAGACATCAGAGAAAATAATCTCAGATATCCGGTTGGAGAGCGTTGCTATAAGGGCCTCAGTAGGAAGGGGACCTTGCAACGAGACCGTTCTCTCAGGTTATCTCGCCAGCTGGCGACTTTTCAAGTCACAAATTCTAGCGGCTCAATGCAGGCTAGAGTGATGTAGTTGTTTATGGTGATAAATGAATGTACTGGATCGACGCCTACGTGTATTTCACCAAGGTTCATACCTGATTAGATGACGACCTCGGGTACAGTGACTGAGGTGGCGTCATGCCAATATCTAAGCGTGCCACGTGTGATGGTCCGGATCCGCGGGGGAACTTGCCAACTCGTCTAAGCCTCTTCTATTTGGTTTCAGTCTAAATGGCCAATCGGTTTCATGTGCATGCATAAAAACCCACCATGTTTGGGAGACATTTTAGACGCCAGACGGCAGTGTCAAGTAATCATCAAAAGTCAAGTGCACGACAGTGCGTACACTACTGAGATTTAATCCGAAAACGACGAACTGCATGGCAGGTGATTTGCACAAAAAAGGTATTTGATAAAGAGCTAACTGCAGCCAAACCAGTAAACAGTCAGCAATGTTGGGAATTTGAGGCGCACGCAAAGCTTGATGCTTCTTACGAGTTTCTACCAAAGAAAACTAGAAAAGCTCTGAATTATATAGCTGAAGAAAAAGTGCATGATTTCGACGTATTTCATCCCGAACTATGAAAATGCTATTTCTTAGAGCACCGTCAAATCCTGTTACTATGATACCGGTCTTCGTCAAATAACAAGAAGAAGGTTTGCACCGAAGGTTATGTTCCCATAGATAGCTAAAATGAGGAACATAAATTACGGGGAAAGTCTAGGTGCAATGGCGCCGCCAACGAAAAAGTAAGAGAAAAATAAACATGTTGAAGAGTCAGGGCTGAGACCGAGAGTGATTGTGTTGAGAGCACAGTCACACTGTGATTATACAAAGACCACCATCAGGCGTAACAAATTGCAGGATGACTAGGTCCATTAGGAGAAACTGCGCCCGTGGGTGGCAGCTGGTGAAACATCCTCTTGATGAATGAAGATGTTGCAAATTATAGAGGCCAAAATCTTATGCATGCGCGGTTTTGGTCGTGTACCAGTCGTGCAGTAACGCTGTGATTGGTAATTTGCCTGATTAGCTGAGTACATGCACGAGGGTTAAAGCAGCAGAGTAGTTTCCAAGCACAGCGATCGGCGACAGCAATTAGAGAAGGGTTTCGAAAGCATTTCTGCCTTGTGTTTAAGGTATAATAGACAAAACTGCCATAGGAAATAACGTCGAACTAACAAAGGGGCAAGTTCTAGATGCTTGTCTGCGCATACATTACAACATCTCTTTTAAAGCACGTGTGCGTAGTCTATTTTCCTAAGCAGCGTACATGCTTAGCACTCCCCTCACTCAGAACCATGCTTGGTCTTGTCTCCCTACGCTAGTCTTACTGCTCCCCTGTCTTCGTAGTCCTGGTCGTCATACTTCTGGTCAGAATCGCAAACTGAAAACGATAGTAAGTGTTCACGCAGAAAAACAATATACTGTGGAACTTCGGTTAACGAGTTTAATCTGTCCTGTCACCGACCCCGTCATGTGAAACGTTCGTCTTGAGAAACGTAGCCAATAAAACTGCAACCGTTCACTGATTGGCTGCAGGCGACCGAGGATCCACGCAAGACTCAACAGTGGACACAGGCACATACATTGACAGCTCGTTAACTGAGCAGAAACTCGTCATTCAAAACAAATTTTCTGCTAGTAACTCGTTCGTTACCTAAAATGCTAGTAGATAGGGTTGTTCGTCACTCGAGGCTCCACTGTAATTAATTGTCTGCTGCCTGGGGCCGGAGTTTTTTCAGCAAAAAGGACACTTGCGTGTGTCAAAAGTGTAAAGTGTAAAGTGTGTAAAGTGCACTTCATTCAATTACAAGACATCGAGTGCATCGTCTAAAACCTTGTTGTGGTGGTTGGCATGGAGGACACATTTGTTGAACTTAAACAAATATCAGCTGCAGATGCAAGGTCTGCAAGACAGAAAAGACAGTAGGAGCTTACAACAACGGCGGAGAGGTCGTTGCATGAGAAGCGGTTAATGGCCTCCTCCAGGGATTTCAGAATGGCTTTATTGATCCGTTGAGAAAGGAGTTTGCTGAGATCAATAGTACGGCCGAGGAGCTGTACGTTT